AGCTAAACTCATTGCTGTTAAAAAAAAGAAATACACTCATTACAGACATGAGCAGAATCATTAGGCAATGAAAAAATATATAACAAATCATTCATAAAACTTTCTAAAAATGTGCCTATTTATTAAAGAATAGTATATTACATGAGATATAATAACAAAAAAACCAAAAGATTCCTAAACTATCAAGTTTGGGAAAATAACTGACAAATTGTTTTGCATCAATGAATGAATGAAAATCTAACTTTTCCATAACCTTTGGTAAAATCACAATTAAAATAAAAATATTATTTAAAAAGCATAAACATATAAATAAAAAGTCTGAATATATCCTATAGGCTGCACTAAGGCTTCATGTTGATTTCTGGTAGAAACTGTTGTTGTTGTTAGGTATTGTTTAGATGAGTACCACTCACAGTAACTCTATGAACAGCAGATATAAAATTATGTAAAACAAAAAGTCTACTAATTTGTCTTTTGTTAATAGATAGTATAATTGATCAAGGTCTTACAAATATCAAGAGAATGACTAAAAGACATTTGGCTTTCTATTTCTTTCTAGAATAAATAGAGAGATATTAATTTTTGTGTCATAAAAGTCTATCAATGAATACACAGAGTAGTAGACTTACCTTATTGCTTTGTGAGACAGATTTAATTAATTATTTTATATTCTCACTAGAGGAAAGAAGTTAGCTTGTAATTTCCCATTCTGCTAACATATATAGTAATAATCAAGTAAAATAGTAAGCAATTGGAAAATAACAATTTCATATGCTTGATTAGAAAGAATGCATTGTAAACTTAAATGGTTCTATGTAAGCAATTAAAAGGAAAAAACAATGCTACTATAATGTTATTTCATGTTTATATACTGATTTATTTCTTGATAATGTATTCTAATTTTATTAGGATTGATTATCAAGATCACTGACTAATAATATTCTTTGGTTTATTGAAATAATTGCTTTCTATATAATCACAGTAGGAGCTTCTCTCATGTAATTGATAATATAATTGAATGTTTCAATAATGTTTCTTAACCCACAAGAAGGCTTCCAATTATATTTCAATAATAATAAACAATAGTATTTTTAAAGAATATAATTAAGGCATTTTAAGTGTTTAAGGCATTCTCTGCACTCTTCCTGGATGACATTTTTGATATATTCATCTGGTCTCATTAATGTTCAGGGCCTCAAATCTATTCCTGAGATGGTTTTGAAATTCAGGTGGAATAGACTCAAAGTCATATTTTGGCTCCTATGGATTTTATTTAATTTTCACTAACTTCATATGCAGCTTGAACTTGCATATGAGTAGTGGGTGGTCTGTTCCACAATCAGCTCCTGGCCTAATTTTCACAGCTGATATTGAGCTTTTCCAGCAGCTCTTTCAACAAATGTAATCAGTCTGATTCCTATGCATACCATCAGTTGAAGTCCGTGTATATAACCTGCATTTATGTTTCTTGTAAACTCTATTTGTAATGAATAAATTGTTGATTGTGCAAAATTCTATCATTCTAGTTTCAGCTTTATTTCTGTCACCAAGTCCATGTTTTTCAACTACTGATCCTTCTTCTATGTTCCCAACTATTGCATTCCAGTCACTTATTATTATTA